TTGTAGGTGAACTATAAATCCCAGCAACTACAATTCCCAAATGTCAAGGTCTATTTTCCCGAAACTCCACCAGTCTTCACATTTGAGCATACTAAGTATTCGTACCAAGTTTGGTCCAGATCCATCATTGTTTGAGTCCACAGTGTTCTCTGGTTGTAGGTGAACTACAACTCCAAAACTCAAGGTCAATGTCCACCAAACCCTTCCAGTATTTTCTGCTGGTTATGGGAGTTCTGTGTGCCGAGTTTGGTTCAATTCCATCATTGGTGATGTTCAGAATGCTCTTTGATTGTAGGTTAACTATAAATCCCAGCAAATACAACTCCCAAATGACAAAATCTCCCCACCCCCACCCCATCAGTATCCAAATTTGGACATATCGGGTATTTATATCAAATTGGTCCAGTGAATGACAATACATCCTACATATCAGATATTTACATTACAATTTTAAATAGTAGTAAAATTACAGTTATGTAGCAGCAATGAAAATAATGTTATGGTTAGGGGTCACTACAACATGAAGAACTGTTTGAAGGGGTCGCGGAATTAGGAAGGTTGAGCAGTGTGGAAGGGGCCTACATCTTCCTTAGAATATCATGTGGCAAACAGGTAGGAGTAGTGTTGATGGCTTTCATGGCCGGAATCACTGGGTTGTTGTAGGTTTTTCAGGCTATATGGCCATGTTCTAGAAGCATTCTCTCCTGACATTTCACCTGCATCTATGGCAAGCATCCTCAGAGGCTGTAGGTCTCACAACCTCTGAGGAGGCTTGCCAAAGATGCAGCACCGGGATTGTGGCGCAGTTGGCTGAGTGTCAGCTGCATTAAGATCACTCTGACCAACAGGTCATGAGTTTGAAGCCAGCCCGGGTTGGAGTGGGTTTCCAACCAATTGTGTAGCCCGTTGTCGACCTTTGCAACCCGAAAGACAGTTGCATCTGTCAAGTAGGAAAATTAGGTACCACCTTAAAGTGTGGGGAGACTAAATTAACTAATTTATGAGGCCATTAAAAAAAAACTTCAGCAAAAGCATGCGGGGAATGCGGAAGTACTTCATCAGTGTCGCAGATGGATGATGAAAGCGACAGCTCCCCTGGCAGCCAGAAAAAGTTAAATAGCCTCTGTGTATGTCTGTATATGTTGTATGTCAAAATTGGCATTGAATGTTTGCCATATATGTGTACACTGTAATCCGCCCTGAGTCCCCTGCGGGGTAAGAAGGGTGGAATATAAAAGCTGTAAATAAATAAATAAACATAATGCAGGCGACATGTCAGGAGAGAATGCTTCTAGAACATGGCCATATAGCCCAAAAAACTATAACAACTCCCTGAGAATCATTTGTAAGTGCAAATCTGATTTAGATCTGAGCCTTCTGATGGTACAGCTGTAAATAGTGCAACAGTAAAGATTAAAGCGCAATATTTTTGGATGAAAATCTGAATTTGTGAGTTTAGTAAACAATATGTGGAGAAGGTCAGACATTAAAATTGTACTCTGCTGATGAGCTGATTAACTAACTGAAACATTTTTTGGTGAATTGACTACTAGGTTTTGCTTGCCTCTGTGGCAAGGGTACAGCAGTTCCCCAGAAGTCATGATTGGAAAACTATAATTAACTTCACAAACCTATCCCATGTCAATATACACAAGGATTTTGAGTGTACAATATTTGTTTGGTTGTTTTGGGCTAAGGTTCACCAAATTTACTGCAAACATGTGGCTCTCCTATCATTGTGATATTGGGTTGTTGTAGGTTTTTTCGGGCTGTATGGCCATGGTCTAGAGGCATTCTCTCCTGACGTTTCGCCTGCATCTATGACAAGCATCCTCAGAGGTAGTGAGTTCTGTTGGGACTAGGAAAAAGGGTTTATATATCTGTGGAATGACCAGGGTGAGACAAAGGACTCTTGTCTGCTGGAGCTAGGTGTGAATGTTTCAACTGACCATCTTGATTAGCATACAATGGGCTGACTGTGCCTGGAGCAAACTTTTGTTGAGAGGTAATTAGATGTCCCTGCCTGCTTCCTCTCTGTTGTTGTGCTGTTGCCTTTTCTAGATGTCCTAGTCATCCGCGAACCAGATCAACAATTGGGTCACACCGTTTACAGAAAACCCACACACACAGATAGATATCATTATCTACATAAAAACTCCAACCATCACCCAAGTCAAAAAAGAAGCACCATTAAAGCCTTGGCAGACCGTGCAAAAAGGATCTGCGAACCCCACCTCCTTCAAGATGAACTGAACCACCTCAACTGGGCTCTCCAGGCCAATGGATACTCCACCTCAGACATCAGAAGAGCTGCAAGACCAAGAACAAGCCACGAGAGTCAAGATGAAGATCCACCCAGAGAAAAAGTGTTCTTGCCATACATCAAGGGAACCACTGACCGCATAGGGAAGCTGATGAGGAAACACAACATACAAACTATCTACAGACCCACCAAGAAAATCCAACAAATGCTACATTCAGCAAAGGACAAGAGGGATCCTCTCACTTCTGCAGGAGTCTACCGTGTACCATGCAGCTGTGGACAAGTCTACATAGGGACCACCAAACGCAGCATTGCCCAAACACGAATCAAGGAACATGAAAGGCACTGCAGACTACTTCAGCCAGAGAAGTCAGCCATAGCAGAGCACCTGATGAACCAACCTGGACACGGCATTTTATTTGAGACAAAATCTGGCTTCAATGTTTCAACTGACCACCTTGATTAGCATACAATGGGCTGACTGTGACTGGAGCAAACTTTTGTTGAGAGGTGATTAGATGTCCTTGTTTGTTTCCTCTCTGTTATTGTGCTGTTGCAATTTTAGAGTTTTTTTAATACTGGTAGCCGGAAACACGGATCAAGGAACATGAAAGGCACCGCAGACTACTTTAACCAGAGAAATCAGCCATAGCAGAGCACCTGATGAACCAACCTGGACACGGCATTTTATTTGAGAACACAGAAATGTTGGACCACTCTCACAACCACCATGTCAGACTACATAGAGAAGCCATTGAAATACATAACAATTTCAACAGAAAGGAGAAAACCATGAAAATGAACAAAATCTGGCTACCAGTATTAAAAAAAACTCTAAAATTACAACAGCACAACAACAGAGAGGAAACAACCAGGCACATCTTAACACCTCTCAACAAAAGATTTTCCCAGGCTCAGCCAGGCCTTCAAATGCTAATGAAGGTGGTCAGTTGAAACATTCACAACTAGCTCCAGCAGAGAAGAGCTCTTTGCCCCACCCCAGCCATTCCACAGATATATAAACCCATTGTCCTAAATAACTCTAAAATTACAACAGCACTACAACAGAGAGGAAACAAAAAAGGACATATAATCATCTCTCAACAAAAGTTTGCTCCAGGCATAGTCAGCCCATTGTATGCTAATCAAGGTGGTCAGTTGAAACATTCACACATAGCTCCAGCAGACAAGAGTCCTTTGTCTCACCCTGGTCATTCCACAGACATATAAACCCTTTTTCCTAGTCCCAACAGACATCACTACCTCTGAGGATGCTTGCCATAGATGCAGGCGAAACGTCAGGAGAGAATACCTCAAGACCATGGCCATACAGCCCGAAAAAACCTACAACAAGCCAGTAATTCCGGCCATGAAAGCCTTTGACAATACATTGTGATATTGTTGCTGACTCAGAAAAAAAATCAGCCTGGGTCATGTTTTGCTTATGCGTTCTCCTTTCATCATCCAGGGAAGAGCGAAGGAATGAGGAAGAGAGAGAAAAATTAAAATTTAAGCAGAGAAATCCCAAGAGATTTATTTTTCATTTTGTTTTTGTTCTGATGACATTTGGCGAAATCAAAATAGCAGGCACCAAATGTATTCTAGAATTGGAAACGAAGGCTTTCTGTCCTCCGGGAGGGAGGATGATCCTCTCTTTAGTGGAAGACGCTAGTCTCGGGAGATGGTTAAGCAATCACACACCTCAGGGCTTGGGTGGAACATCGTGTGGAAGGGCTGCGCTGCTGCTTTTGAGGTAGTGCATATCTGATGTGTGTAAAACATTCATAAATCATGACACACTGAAAGCAAATGAGAACACGTAGGCATGAGCACAAACAGACACAAATGAAAAACATAGGAGATGTAAGGTGACAAAGGCAGACAGTTTATTGGATGCGTAGAGATGGGAAAGCTAAGTACATGCAAACACAATGCAATTGACAACTGCAGAT